TGCCCGCATCTGCACGGATCCTCTCAGCTCATCGCTTCTCTGCGTCAGTACTCGCACGTCTCCTCTCCGCCCTCCTCCTCCGCCGTTGATGCTGCGGCTTCTGCCACCTCCCCTCACTCCGGCCCACGACGACAGCGCGAAGGCCGCTCGTCGGTCCGTTCGCTTCGCCTCGAGAACGAGGTCGTTGTAGTACGGTGGCGCCGGCGGTCGTTGACGGGAGGAGGCGAGCCGCCAGCGCTGAAGCCGGCCGAGCTTAATCTTCAACTTTTCACATTCCTTGCGCAGAGCAGAGAGTGAAAAGCATAACGCATTAGAGGCCAGGGGGGGGGGAAAAAAAAAAAAACCAGCGGGGAAAAAAGCGGCGAAGAAAAAGCAGAGAGAGAAGAGAAAGCCAGAGCAGAGAGAGAGGAGAGAGAGGCAGCAAGAGAGAGAGAAGCAGAGCAGAGAGAGAGAGAGAGAGCAGAGGAGAGAGAGAGAGAGAGAGCAAGCAGAAAGAGAGAGAGAGAGAGAGAGAGACAGAGAGAGAGAGATGAGAGAGCAAGAGAGTAGAGAAGAGATAACGCCATAGAGCCAGAGAGAGTGAGAGTGAGAGGAGAGCAAAGAGGCGACAAAGAGAGGGAGAGGAGAGCAGGCGAGAGCAGAGCAGGGCGGGGGGAGGAGAAAGAGTAGAAGAGAGATTAGCAGAGAGACAGAGAGAGATAGCAGATAGAGATAGAGAATAGCACGATAGAGCATAAGAGATAGCAGAGAGACGAGAGAGAGAAAGAGAGCAGGAGAGCAGAGAAAGAGAGAGAGAGAGAGAGAGAGAGAGAGAGAGAGAGAGAGAGAGAGAGAGAGAGAGAGAGAGAGATAGAGAGTTTAGTTGACTTTGGCACATATGTCAAGTGACAAGAAATTACTTACATCAAGGTGGTCAAATGTCAAATTTCCTATACAGAAATCACGTGCCAAGTGATAACCTGACTATACAGCTGCCACAATGACTATCATTAACCTACTTAGAACGCACACTGATAGCGTAAGGTTTTCCTTGAAATTCTAGTTAAACTAGTAAGAAATTAGTAAATTTGAGTCAAAATTCTAGGAATAATGGATTCGGACAGACGATCACTGCGTCAGTACCTTGTATTTGATGATGTACTCTTGCCTCGCCATCACCAACCTCTCCCGCATGTCCTCGGTCTCTCTCATGAGATCTGCCTTCGCCGTCGCAAGTTTCGTCTTCAAACAAATACACGGAAACTAAAACTTACCGAGACGTGGGGCAGCGGAAAAGGAAGCTGAGCTTGGCAGCCCATCTGAATTCTAATTTTGCAACTGAAACCATTTGCTACTGCCACACTGAAGTGGCTCTCGCGTGCCAAAAAGCAGATGACTCATAGGATCCCAGGAGTCTTCTGCCAGGAGTAGGTGAGAAGGAAAACGAGGAGGAGAAAGAAGACGAGAGAAGGGGATCAGAATGACAAGCAGGAAGAGGATGAGGCAGACGGTGAGGAAAACAAGAGGTGGAAGAGGATGAGAAGGAACGTGAAGACGATGAGGAGGTGAAATTGGAGTAGGAGGGGGATGAAAAGGAGCAGGGGGACAGGGAGGAGGTGGAGGATTTAGGAGTGGGGAAAGAAAAAGAAGGATGAGAAGCGAAGGACGAGGATGAGGAGGAGCAGGAGAAAGGAAGCCAACCTACGTTCTTAGTGAGCTTGTTTTCGGCCTTTGTCAGCTTGTCCCGGTAGTTGTTGCAGCACTCCTGCAGGCCGGCCAGCGTCTGACTGAACGCGAACGCCGTGCCCGCGGACTCGAGCTCCTTCTGCTGTCTGAGGCTCTCCAGCTCACCGCGCAGCCGCGAGTTCTCATCAGCAAGCTCACTGCTCGCCTGCAGGGTGACAACGAGGACGACGATACGTCGTGAGGCACGGCGAAATCACCGTGGCGACCGGGGTCGCAATTTCGTTACGAGAGACATACACGTTTCAATATATACACGCGTGCGTGTGTGTGCGCGCGTGTGTGTGCGTGCGTGCGCACATGTGAGTGTGTTCGTGCGTGTGTGAGCGTGTGCATGCGTGTGTGCATGCATTGACACGAGCAGGATGACAGGTAGCGAGTGACTGACCTTCGCCACCTCCTTGTTCGCCATCTCCTCCTGTTTCAGCAGCTTCTCGAGCTGCGAAGCTCTCTCTTTCGCCGTCTCTGCCTCCCTGCTCTGTTTATCCATTTCCGTGGCCGCCACCTGGGAGACACAAACAGGAGAGTCCACATTAGCACACTGCTAACCAGCTCGTGACACAACAAGGAGTAACTTCCTTTCAATCAACATTGGTCACTTCCACGCGCCCGCCGCCCCTTCCACGACCCTCCCATGCGGCCCATGACCCCTCCCACACAACCCCTCCCGCGCGGCCCGCAGCCCACGAACCTCCAGCGATGCTGACATGCTGGCCTTGAGTTCTTCGTAAGCCCTGACGTCGTCGGTCAGCTGCCGTTTGCAGGCCTCGAGGGCCTCGTTCTTGTCTTCGCTGTTCTTCAGCTTCTCCTCGAGTTCCTGGACGCGCGCCAGCAGCTTCTCTGTAGGAGCACAACGTGAAGCGTGAAGCCATACGTGAGGTGACACACCCACCGACGAATCCCGCCATCGCTCCCTCTGCTAACCCTAACACTAATCAAGCCTAACACTAAACCTAACACTAATCATAATCTTAACACTAAGACCAATCATAACCCTACCACTAATCCTAATCTTAACACTAACACTAATCCTAATCCTAACACTAAACCTAACCCTAAGCCTACCACTAACCCTACCACTAAACCTAAAACTAACCCTAACACTAATCATAACACTAACACTAACCCTAGCCTTAACCATAACCCTAATCCCAACTACATTCCCAAACCTAATCCCTATCCACAACCGTATCCCTAATTCTAACCATAACCATACCCTAGCCCCAATCCTAACCATAACCCATAATCCTAGCCCTAATCCCTAATTCTAACCATAACCATACCCTAGCCCCAATCCTAACCATAACCCATAATCCTAGCCCTAATCCCAATCATAACCATAACTCTAACGTTAATCCTAACCATAACCATAACTATAACCTAATCCTAACCATAAACCTAACCCTAATCATAACTCTAACCTAATGCTAATAACCATAACCAATAAACATAACTATAACCATAACTATAACCATAACTATAACCATAACTATAACAGCCTCTTACCCGTGTCCTTCTTCGCCTGCGCGATGGCTCCTTTCTTCGTCTCCCCCTCCTCCTTCAGCTGCTTAACCGTTGTCCGCAGCTCAGCCTCTGTCGCCTGCAAACACGCCGGCTCGTTACGCAACGTCGCGGCGACGGCCACTATGTGCCGCCACCGTCCATGGACGAACACGCAGCAACAGAGTTTCGCGATGAAATTTATACAGTCTAATGTTGGTGGGGTGGCAGTCGGATGTCAGTTACAATTGTACGCTTGATGGAAGCCGAATTAATTTCTAATAATGGGTTGTTGTTAGTGTGTAGACAGTAGACACCGCTAGAGAACAGACACCTGTCTATAAAGGACATTTGGCGTGCTTTCCTTGAGAAGCAATGATACATCGCCAGAACGGGTACTTGTATAAGAAGACTACTTTCGACTTTTGTTTGATTGACGCTTGCTTATACAGGTGTATTGACTACAACTGCTTCTCAAGGTGGCACTAGAAGGATCGATGAGGCAGCATTACGCCTAGAGGATGTCTCACCTTTGAGGCATCCTGCTGAGACAACATCTCCTGCCTCAGTGCTGCCACCTGCTGGACAGCAGTTCGCAGTTTTTCTGCAAAAACATTGTCATACGCACACTAAAGACTCCCTCACTCGCTCCCTAACCCTAACCCTTATCTAAAAACCTCTTATGCAACCGTACACAGACAACAAAACTTCAACCGCTCGCAAAAACTAACACCCTCCCCCCTTCCAGAAACGAAATGTAACCCACTTGCAGCAAATAGAATGCCCCCCGCAGCCCTCCCAGCAGAACTTTGGCTGGCTTTTACCTGTGTCCTTCTTGGCCTGTGTGATGGCCACCTCGTTTGTTTCACCTATCTTCTCTAGTTGCTTCAGCTTTCCCCGCAGCTCAGTCTCCGTCGCCTGCGAATGAGTCGGGTAATTACTAGTTATACAACTGAGCTGATTGTAACTACAAGGCCTGACCCATACATGTATCCGGGTGCGAAATTAACAGGAGTCCGGAGTCAAATACTCCCTAATTTACTGTCAGACTTCCTGATTTGACATATGCAGGAGTCCGTGTGACTCCCTGAAAATTCTACCATACTAACTAATTCGTTCTGGAGCATGGCCTCGCGGAATTACAGTATTTGTTCAGCTAATGTCCAAAGAAAATTTGGCAGACGTGCAACTGCATGAATCTTACAAAATAAACATATGCGTTATTATTAATATCTTTAATTTTGAACCTCAGACTGCGGACTCCCTCATTTTGCTGTGGACTCCCTCTTTTTGAGGGTAGGGAGTCCGTTGGACTCCCTTATTCAAAAGTTAATTTCTACCCCTGTGTATGGTGTAAGGTACCCCAGCAGAGCGAGTTTGAGGCGGTAATCGTCTCGTGTGACTGACGGGCAGCTGCGGCCAATCACTGCGGCGAGAGGACATTCTAAAGGACAATGCTTGGCGACAAAGTGCGGCATAGTCGACACGTCCATTCTATAGAGATGGTTTAACTGTGCAGCTGCCATTCACGGGAAAATGCCAACGTTGTGCTTGCTGGACAGGCATATGCTCTACAGTTACATCCACTAACACGGGTTTTACTATAACTGCTATATTTAACACGTTCCACGCGAAATACGAGTCAGCTCGTTCGAACAATCAAAATGCACGCCCGCAAAACTATTATATAAACTATTACTCTACAATGACAGGTTTCAGGTTAACATGTTATAATGTTCTTGACATATTTGATAAAATATTCAAACAGATATTGACATCACATCTATAGTAAAGTTCAAAGGTGTATAAATATTATGCTGTTCTTGTGTGTAAATAAGTGAAATTTCGATGCAAAAATTCCAGCACAGGGCGATAGATCCATTGTTAACAAGGCATCGTTGTTGATCGAGTGCTGGGCTCTCTAACATTTCCCACAAGCTCTGCGAGGCGGGAGTAACTCCAGTGTTTCGCAGACACCTCATGAGCACGCCTCACGTATGTCTCACCTGCGAGGCCTCCTGCTGAGACGACATCTCATGTCTCAGTGCTGCCACCTGCTGGATGGCAGTTCGCAGCTTCTCTTGCAGGTCGTTCACCTCCTCCTCTAGAACCTCCTTTACCTGCGCACGAATAAATGCAGGAGGTGTGAGACAACGTGTCGAATCCGGCTTGTTGAATTTTTTATAATGAGCAAACAGATCCGTATAGACTGGAGTGTTGGAAAAGGCAAGAGTTAATAACCTCTTTCTCTCTTTCTCTCCCTCTCTCATGCGCTCTTTTTCTCTTTCTCTTACTCTTCCCCCTTCTCTCTCTCTCCCTCTCCCTCACTCCCCCCCTCTCTCTCTCCCTCTCGCTCTCCCTCCCTCTCCTTCCCTCTCTCTCTCTCGCTCTTGCTCACCTACCCACACTCTCTTGCTGTCTTGCTACCTCTCTCTACCCCACTCCTTCGCTCCTCACTCTTTTTCCTATCTGACTGTCTCCCTCAAAAAAAGATTAAGAAAAAGAAAAAGAAAAGAGAAAGAAAAAGAAAAAGAATAAGAAAAATGTAGAAAAAAAAACTACAAAAAAATACACGACAAAAAAGACAATGCGACAAAAAGAACGAGAACAAGCAGACGACGACGACAAAGACAAGTGAACGACTCACGGCTCTCAGCTGCGCCGTCTCCCCGAATGCGACCTTCAGCTTGCCCTCTGTGATGGCGGCACGTGGTTGCACGATCATGATGTCATCCTCTTCCAGCGCGACAAAGTCCCCGCCGTCCGTGTCGCGGAACTGGAACGGCATGCTGGCACCGCGCACCACGCCCACGTCGCTAACGTAAACAAACTGGTAGAACTCGCCATCGTCGCCGGGAAGGTTCTCTGCAGAAAAAAACAAGAGTGCGTTCGACATTGCCGTGTCACGGAACTGGAACGGCGTGTTTGCACCGCGCACCACGCCAGCGTCGCTAACGCAAACAGAAACAAAAAAACAAGAGCGCGTTCGACGTCGGACGTGCACTTGTTTTTCGCAGCGCGACATTCAGGTCGCGTGCACCAAGATCGCGGTCTCTCGCTCACGCGTCGGCATTTTTTATAATGTGTGAGTCGGGTCACATACATATGACTCCAAAATCATGGTTTTTACGCTACTAAATGTAGAACACTTCACTAGCATGAACTAATGAATTTCCACGGCAACTACACTAACTTGTTGGGGGGGAGGGGCAATGATAGGCGACCTAGGGCACGACTTTGCTAGGACTTGTCGTAGGGTTTGCTGGACAGCTACAGAGATAACACTAGTTATAGAGCTGACAAGTTGGTGCAGATCACCCTGATAATACAGCCACTAACCAGCCAAAACACTTGGCTGTTTCTTAGAAGTGGGGGAGGGGCAAGATTCAAAAGACATTTGACTCATGCCCAGTACAGTCATAAAAATAGATTACTCACTGGTCACGCGCATGTTATGCTTTTATCCGACAGGTGTGATGACAGGTGATGATGAAGGATAAATGCGCAAATATTATCGAAACCTTTACATGTGGATTGCATACCTTAACGGAAATACATTATGATGGGAAAATAATAGCTCAAAAAGCTTTTTTTAAATAGGTAAAGGTTAATGCTATTATTTACACATGACCTTAATAGTCCCCCTAGTAGCAGAGCGCAAATAACCCTTGTCACAGTGATTGTGACCATTTCATCCAATCACAATCTCTCTTAGCTTCGTGACCTACATGTATCAAACGTTTAACGTAGAGAGTCTATCAAGATTAACAGAAAATGAAGCTGTTGTTCCAGCACATACACTCTCACAGCAAACGTAAACACACCCAAAAAACCTGCCTGCTTTCATGGTACAACATTTTCTCTTCCCTAGTTTCACCTAAAAAAACATCCTCTGCTGGCATCAATATGTTAAGTGCTCCAACGTTACTTGCATGTCAGGCTACAAACTCTTGTTAATGCATCCAGAGAGACATGATACAAGATTGCGTGGCACAGCTTTTCTGCTGATCCTAAGCGCTGCGCGCGGATGAGACGCGCAGTTCCGCGAGATATGCGCATGCGACCGCGGGGATGTTCAAGTATGAAGCGCTGTCCTCAGTGGAGACGTGCGCCAAATTCGAGGCCCGGCGCACGTCTCCACAGCGGTCAGCGGATGCCAGGATGGTCTGTAGTTTTAGAAGATGACAATGATTATATATTGACGATATTCTAGGAATTGGAGATTATATTAAAAACAGTAACAAAAATCGCTCAGTCATTCTCCAGATTAGCTGAATCAAAAAGATTAGAATTTAATATGAACAAAACAAATACAATGGTTATAAAATTCACAAACAAAGAAAGGATAGAGAAGGAGATATTAATAGACAACCAAGTAATCAAAAAATGCACCAAATATTCATACCTAAGGGATTTAATTAATAATATAGGAGGTTATAACGATATGATAAGAGTCCGAACTGAAGAATGTAGGTTCATGATGAGGGAAATATAAGGAAGAAGTAAAAACGTTGGAGGATTTCCAAAATGAGTGCCTGCGCAAAATATTAATCACGCAAAAAACCTACCAAAAGGCATTGAAAAACGATAAAAACGCCAAGGAAAGATACGGAGAAATCAGTAAAAATAACATATAGTTTCTATACGTAAATCGTGGTAAATTAGAGCTGTGCGTCGAGGAATTTTCTATGGTTCCGGACATGTAGGTGGCGAGTAGGGCAACTCGTATGCGGATATTCCGGATATCGGATTTCCCCAAAAAATTGCCATCGGGACATCGATTCGGATTGGGGAAGTCAAGATCAATAGCCATGCGGATTTCCGGATTCCGGGACTTCGTATCGGATTTTTTGGGTTCATGGTCGGACCCGACAGGCAC